TTACTTTCAAGGGATCTTCAGTCTAAGCTTCCGTCAGTTGTCATCAACAGCTTTTCCTGCGCGCTCTTGCCTTAAGACGGGGTGAGGGTTGCATGGGCGCTGGCCGGCACCTCAGTCCGTGCTGAAAAGGGGTTTAGGGTTTAGGGGTTGAGGGTTTAGTGTTGAGGGGTTTGGTTGGTTTTGAGGGTTTAGGGGTTTAGGGCTTAGGGTTTATTGGTGATGCTCTTCCCTTGCGGTCTTCATATCACCGCGGGTATGATATGATGTACGCCCCAACACCAGCTTTTGCTCAGTACTGCCCCCCGCCCCACAATTTGGAGGACCGGCCATGAGTATGAAGTTGCAGGTTCAGAGAGTCTAGTCGGTTCTGCACTAACTAATTTGCAGCTCTTGGCAGCTGCAATAGTAGTTAGAATGGCAACCCCCACAACAAGGAAGCACGGTAACAAGCGTATCGCAATCGTTGCCATGAGGAGCTGTTATGAGCAAGTAGTTTGAACTAGCTCCTCGAAGACGTCGCCTTCATAAACCCTGCTACCTGCCCTTCCATGATATAACCTGGACTGTGATGAAATGAAGGCCCTAAACCCTAAGCCCAAAACCCTCAACCCGAATGACCTAAACACTAAACCCTAAAGCCCAAAACCCAAAACCTTAATGAATGGCCTGCTAGAGTCGAGGGGCTGTTCTTGAGCCGGATTTCGACCTCTGCCGAAACGCTGGCAGCCAACTCCTCCGAAACCAGAAAAAAACGGGCCGTAAACTAAAGGTTGATGAATCGGGAATTGTAGCCCGGACAAGCCCAGCCCCAGACCGTACTACCTCCCATGTACGAGCTTGTCCGGGATCTATGCTAGGCGGGTGTTAAGCGGGTTCCACAAGACCAGAGTGAGGGTCCTTTGTTCTTTTCTGAAACTGCCCTTTATATAGGGCTTTAGGGTTGTCGGGTTTATCACAGGGATTTTGGGTTTATAGGGTTTGGGGTTTAGGGTTGGGGGTGTGAACCCCTAAGCCCGTAAAGAATCCTCGGCCAGGCAGATCGAAGAACTGTAGACGGTGGAGGCACGCTGCCTCTGGACCGCCCGCCGCTGCTACTCGGAGATTTTTAGTCGGTCTCTCATAAGCCCGAAACTGTTGCAAACCATTCAGTCATGTCAGCCCCAATCCGATTCTTCCTTGCAAGCTTGGGGTGCATTTGAATCGAAACCCTGAACCATCCTAAACCCCAAAACCTTAACCTACACTTCGCCCATCTACGCCCTAAGCCATCATGCCCTAAATCCTGAGCTAAACCCTAAGCCATATACTAGGTCCGCTGAGCTTTCGAGCGCCTGCCTGAGCCCACCGAAATGCTTTTGGTGCAGTGCACTGCTCCATTCAGGACAGGCGCGCGTAGTTGTTAAGAAGTTCCGTTCTTCCCCTCCACTGCATGACAAGCACACCCATGCTTGAAGTATCAAAGCTGTAGTAGCTCCCAACTGCAGAAACTATCTTTATAGACATGGTTTCCACTAGGGTATCTCAAGATCACGATAGCTTTAGGAAGATTGGAACTGGAGTCTTTCAACTCATTTTCGGGATTCAGGGTTGCAGGCGATTGTGGCGGGGGAAGTGCTTGCCTCATCTGAGGCTGGCGCCGCACCTCCCCCTCGAGAGATGGGCGAAGTCGCTCCCCGAGACTGGCATGTTGGTTCTGCTCAGTCTTGCAGGGGTTTTAGAGTTCAGGGTTTAGGGTTCAGGGTTTAGGGTTTAGGGTTTGGGAGTTTCCAAAAACAAGGGGTACCTTATTTTGGGGTCCTTATAATAAGGATCCTACTATTTAGGATACTATATTAGGGTTCTTCGGAAACCGCCGTTTAGGGTTTAAGGTTTAGGTTTATCTTAACTGCCTCAGCTCTTATTCTGGGATACTATTCCAAAATGCGATCCCTGAAACAGATCTTTGTTTGTCGAGATTTGATCTAGGTCGTAGTCTAGGGCTGTATGTAAGCCGGAAAGAGAGTAAGCACTTGCCATTTGAGGGCACAGGTTACTTACAGCGATTAGCGTGGCTGTCAGTTTCCTGAATTTCTTCTATCGTTTTGCAGTCCACGGGGCGCTTGTTTAGGAACTGGGGTGCCAGAATACGGAAAGCCTGTTTGACCATATTTAACACCCCTGGTATGATAGGTATGTTTATACGAGTTCTTGGAGGGTTTCGTGGCCCGTCGCAATGCCCTTGGATTTAGGGCTCCCAGCCCCGGGGTGGTACCAGATTTGTTGCTTGTAGGCTTTATGCATTGACTTCTTGCTTCGAGATTCATCGGTTACCCTTAACCCTAAACCCTAAACCCTAAACCCTAAACCCTAAACCCTAAACCGTGATCGGTTACCCTTTAAAGAGATCGAGTTGCTATGTAAACCCGGTAAAGGTCCTTGGGTTGAAGCCGCGAAGGCTAAAAAAGCCTGGGGGCCCTTTGCTGGTTTAGGGTTTAGGGTTTAGGGTTTAGGGTTACCTGAAAGCCACTGAGGTTTCGCGAGGTCGTGAACAGAGCCCTCAAGAGCGAGAAGAGCGCCAGGGCGAAAATCCGCGGCACGAGCGGCAGCTCGGTTGCATGACCGGTGTAGTTTGCGTCATTGATCGGCTGGGGGACTGGGCGTCAGCAAGGGAAAACTTGCAGCAGACAAGTCTCGCAGAAGCCGCATAAGGTCTAAGCCAGCAGTTATCGTTCTGTTTTTGTCTTGTGGTTGAGCTTCATATAGGCCAGCTAGCTAGACCGAAACATCGAAAGTCAGAAAACCCTACGTAGATCCCCAACGCCTTGCTCCCCTCCATGTACCTAGTGACCACATAACCCTAAACACTAAATACTAGCATAGATTATTCCTCTCCGAAGCCCCAAGACCCAACTTGTTGGATTTACGTCGTACCCTTTCAAGCCCTTGTAAAAGCAGCAGAAAGCCCTTCAAGAAACCCGTGGAGAAGCGCACCATAAACCCTAGTTGCCCTAAAGCCTATAAGCCTAAACCCATCCCCTCGTCAATGTATCACGCCGACTCCTGCACCTATGAATCCTCGCCTGGCTTGTCCGAGTTGTGAGAGTGTCAAGCCTAAACCCTAAACCCTAAACCCTACATACCCTAAACCCTAAACCATGCGGAGCCTTGCCGGCCTTCTGCGAGTGTGAGAGTCGAAACCCTAAACCCTGAAACCTAAACCCTAAACCCTATTTCGCGACTCGCTCAGCCATGTAGGAGGCAAAAAAACCCTAAACCCTATAAACCCTAAATTCGAAACCCTGTGTGTTTCTTGAGGAGTCCCCTCTTTGCTGGGCGTAAGTTCCCTCCTGGGCTCCATGATCTGCATCGTCGGGAGGCCTAGGGTTTAGGGGTTTGGGGTTTAGGGTTTAGGGTTGAGGGTTCAGGGGTTTCGGGGTTTCGGGGTTTCGGAGTTTCGGAGTTTCGGGGTTTCGGGGTTTCGGGGTTTCGGGGTTTAGGGGTTTAGGGGTCTGGGGGTTTCGGGAGTAAGGGGTTTAGGGTTACTTTGGGGTGCCATGACGGTGAGAGCAGGAATGAGCGGGCCAGCTATAAGACAGCTATATAGATGACAGGCACACCTTGCATTGACTGCTGACACATCACGAAGTAGCTGTCAGGGATCACGGGATTTTGGGGCCGGGTTCGAAAATTCGGGCGCGGCGTTTTGCAAGTCCAAGCTGGGTACAGAGGTCGGAATACCTAGCGGACCTAGCAGATAGTTAGCAGCATTTAAGCGACCGAGGTCGCACTTAGACCAGCTTTCAGGAAGCTCGGCAGAAGAGTTCCGGCGATTTGTCAGCAACCCTAATGCCTCACCCTGATTCAGCCAGAAACCACGGGCCTTTTCATAAACCACAGAATATACAAGGAATGAATGACCCAGGTCATCGTCTGGACACTCCAGCTGGATGCCACCGTCACAGCAGTGGCGACTGCCGCTTGTTCTTTATAAGTTCTCAGCCCTATTCCCGAGACCCAGTTGGTCGGGCGTCACTCTCCAAAGGCTGGTGGTGTAGGGCCAGTAGACTGTTGCTGGCCTTACAGTGCCCCATGAAATTTCAGGAGGTTCATTCTGGACTACCCTCATTGTCGTTGGTCGTAATGGATTGCGCTTCCTCACGCAATCAGTGATTCAAGTTTGGTCTACTCTATCTCTATCTGGTTTGTAAGAGTATTCCCCTATGGTTCGCCCAGTATCCTTACTTGGCGACATACC